AGAGTGTGCTGCTGAATGGAGGCCATGGCCAGGGTGATACATTCTCTCAGTTTTAGCCCTTTTTCCGAGACGGATCTGCAAAGCTTCTGAATGAGAGACGTGACCTTCCGGGTTGCCGGGGCACCTGAGCTAATTCCGTGACTTTCACGGTCTCGGCATCTCTACAAGATCGGGCACGAGCTGCAAGACTCACGGGATTGCTCGGCACGGGAACGGGAAGTCTCATCAACAGGGGCTAATGAGGTAATTTGTGTCTTATGTGCACACGACGTGCATATACCCTCTGCATCACTGAGACGTTCCCAAAGCCCAGCTCCAGCTACAGAAGATGCAAGTTTTTTGTGAGTGAGCTGCAATGTCTGCAGGGCTCGACGGCTCCAGAAGAAGTGGCCTGGCAGAGTTTCGCTTTGCATGCTGCATCACCCTGCATATCCCTGGATGACAGGAGGACGTTCACTCAATTACCGCCAATAGGCTTGGCCTGTTCCGGGAGGCTACGAGCTGCCATCCTTCCGGCTGCAACCTGCTGAAGACATTCTGTTTACTGAATCCTCACAGAAATTGGGAGGTGAGGGATGTGCTCCTAAAGCATGGCCACGCAGATACGGAGACTTGGTTAATGACAGCGACTGTACCAACCAGAACAAGCTCAGAAGTTTTCAGGGCTCCCGGCTTTAACAAGAAAGAGCAAGGACAACCCACAAACACAGGCGCCAGTGTTACATGTCGGTCTCAGGAACTGTAGAGCCCAGAATCAGCCTCTCGTGGGCATCAGCATGCAAATCTTGCAATGATAGCGTTTCCAACAACACGCCTGAGCCTGAACAATCAGTCTAGCTGAACTGCTGAGAATCGCCTGCATGTTGTGAATCAGCGGTCCATTACTGCTATTAAGAGCTGGAGATGCTGGGAAGCTCTCGTCCGACCGAAATACTTGCATGTAGCCGGATCAGCCTTGCGCATGCTTGCTTGCATCCGCAAAGCAGAGAGCCTACATCCATGCCGCAAGCACCCTTGAAGCAACCTTGCGTGTCACTACCGTGCCTGACACCGGCCTACAGTGTATAGTCCTCTCTTTCTTATTCTCGGACGTGATGCTTGGCGAGAGAGAAGCGGTCTATCGCACCAAACTAGCGTGTCGGCATGCTGCACTTTCCACAGACCCGAGCAAGCAAAGGTCGAGCTGTTCAGTCACAGCGTGCCCCGGGTGCATCCGATTGCAGCCGATTTCAGTTCTTGGCTGTTCGAATGTATCTGAAGTCTGAATGTTTGAGGCATATTCGCATCTTTGGCCAAACGCGACAGCAATACAAATGTTAACAATCGCGTGTTCTGACTTCTGTGATGGTCGAATGTTGGTGGCAACACAAGTAGTAGCCGTAAGGGCACGTCTCAGGAGCCGGAGGTAGGGATGCTTGTAGATGTGGTTGCGGTAACACCATGAACTAGCATGCTTTTAGCTGGTCGTCAGTAGTAGGGCAGTGGCATGTAACAGGTAACAGTAGTGGTGGTAGTAGCAGCAGCAGCAGGAGGAGGAGGAGTAGTAGTAGTAGTAGTAGTTCTGGTCGTCGTCGTCCTCGTAGTCGTAGCGGTAGTCTGGTAGTGGTAGCGAGAGTGGTAGTAGTAGGCGTCGTCGTCCTCGTCGTCGTAGTAGTAGCCGTCGTCGTCGTCGTAGTTTGGTGGTAGTGGTGGTAGTAGTAGTAGTAGTACTAGTAGTAGGAGTAGTAGGAGTAGTAGTAGTAGTGGTAGTAGTAGTAGAAGTAGCAGTAGCAGTAGCAACAGTAGTCGCGGTAGTGGTAGTGGTAGGTAGTAATAGCGACAGTGGCAGTAGTAGTAGTAGTCGTAGTCGTAGTAGCAGTAGCAGTAGCAGTAGTAGTAGTAGTAGTAGCAGCAGCAGCAGCAGGAGGAGCAGGAGTAGTGGTGGTAGTAGTAGTAGTAGTAGTAGTAGTGGTAGTGGTTGCAGTAGCAGTAGGAGTAGTAGTAGTAGTAGTAGTAGTATTTGTTGTTGTTGTTGCAGTGGTAGTGGAGGTAGTGGTAGAGGTAGAGATAGTGGTGGTTTTTGTAGTGGTAGGGGTAGTGGCAATGGTAGGAGGAGTGGTAGTGGCAGCGGTAGCGGCAGTGGTAGTGGTAGCGGTGGGGGTAGCAGCGGTAGTAGTAGTATGAGCAGCAGCAGGAGTAGTAGCAGTAGCAGCAGCACCGGCAGCAGTAGTAGTAGTAGTAGTAGTAGTGGTGGTGGTGGTAGTCGTCGTAGTAGTAGTCGTCGTCGTCGTAGTCGTAGTAGTACTAGCAGTAGTATTAGTAGCAGTAGTAGTAGTAGTAGTAGCAGTAGTAGCAGCAATAGCAGTAGTAGTAGTAGTAGTAGGAGTAGGAGTAGGAGTATTAGGAGTAGCCGCAGTCACAATTGGTCTCGGTGGAAAAGAAACCCCTGACGAGCCTGGTTGTACAACTTAGAAGTCAGAGACTCGGCAAGTTTGATTCTTGACGGCTGAAGCTAGGTCGCCCAGTGCTCCCAAAGATCCACGAAGGCAGCCGACTCCTGTTACTCCAGCTCTGTGTTCCGCAGTTGCTACTGCCAGCTGCAAGGCTAGGCTTCGCAGATACACTGCGATGATCATCTGCAGTGAGAGTGGTTCATGAAATAGAGCAGGAACTGCACTGTACTTGGTCGGACTCTTGCCGCCCGTTTCTCCTGCGCTTCTTTGCTCGCGTTTCTGGCCGTGCAACACTTTCGAATTAAAATGCATTTCATGCTAGCGAAGCTGGCCAACATGCACAATGCATGCAGGCATTTTGATACCGGAAGACTCCAAGTTTGGCAACAGCATGTTTTCAGCTGCAGCGGCTCGTTGTGGCTGCCTTCATTGCAGTCGCTGCTGCTACCGTTGCACATATGCCAAGACTTGCAAGCGTGAGTGCAGTAGCAACTTGTTCTGCTTTTCTAGATTATTCTAGAGCTGTGACTCCAAGCAATTCAGCGGCTAATTGTCACAACCCTAAACCTGTGCTGGAATCTTCTCATCCAATCTCAACCAGCTACGGTGGCGCGGTAACCTTCTCAGCTACGCTCTTTTCTGACACTGACGCAGCAGTTCTATTCGCATCAAACATTGACCTTATGTGCGCGATGTGCCCCAATCGGTACTTCAGCTGGCGCAACGCTTGACAACGTTCTGGTACTGCTTTTGTTTCGGCCGCCTAGCCAAGCTGCGTCGTCCTCGATGTTGCAAACCCGTCAACTCGAGCGCTGTGCTAGTAACCCCGCCAAGACGGCCTATCTACATTGTTGCAAGTTTTCTGCCGCGGCTTGCAGCCCAGAGTTTGGTGGTTTCAGGACAGCATAGGAGCACAGATGGACATGCCGCCTTGTGGTCCCACACGCGCCGAGTCATCATCTAGATTCGCTTCACACAATGTCGCCATAGCAGAAAGGCAGCAAGGCCAGAACACCAGAGGCAGAACAAAGCTCAACAGGGCGTGTAGGATTTGAGATGGTCGGACAGAAGGACTGCATGCGAGCCGCCACCTGTCTACAACACACGATCCAAGCTGCGACAATTGAGTTGTTTGAACAGCAGGAGGAATCTGCAGCAAAAGACACCGATGAGGACTTAATCCGGCTTCCTGTGTGCACTGAATGCGGCAGTCTGCGGACAATTACGTGTTCCCAGTGACACTTCTCGTACTCTTGATGAGCACGTACGGGTGGGTGCGCGTGTCAAAGTGGCAAGTGCGGCTCAGGCGCGCCGATTTGGAAGGTTGTCGATCAAGTCTTCGTTGACATGTCGTGCGATGCTGCGGTACGTGTAGGAAGAGCAGCAAGATTCCTCATCTTCCTCGAGCTCCGATGTCGACGACTTCGGGTGTCGCCGTGCTGTCTTGCCACCCTGCAGACGGTGTTGAGATACTTTAAGCATGGTCTTTGCAGGTTTCTGCGCTTCGTTACGCTAAATTTGGAACTGTTTGGACAGTGCTCGCGTGTGCTGGGGCGAGTCTGAGGAGTAAGGGGTTGAACAAGAGGAGGGTTTCTTTTGCTTTTGCACCCTGTCACCGCACCGTACCTCACCCAAGCGCCCATGCGCACGCCGTTCCAGGAAGTCTGAAGCCGAGGACGTGGGCTGGGTGCTCAGATGAGCCGAGATCCTGCGGGTACCCACCCGCCCACCTGGAGAAGTCGGAGAGTGCCTCGGATTTAGAGCTTGCACTGAGGACCACCGCCAGCAAATATGTCGAGGCACTTGGGAAAGCCACTCCGCAACAAAACCCGCGACTCGGAAGTTGACCGAAGCATCGAATCCAGAGGAGTCGCTAGCCATCCCTGCGCACCTGACGAGTACGTCAACTTCATCTCGGCCAATAAAACTAAAGATGTCCGGCTGACTCCCAGCTGCGAGTGAGCAGATGTTGAAATTCTGCTTCACCGTGTTGTCTGGGGTCGAGCGGACAGAAGTAGACGGAGCCTCTCAGAGATACGTGTATTCGGTGGCATGTGGCATACATATCGAAATATCGCACATCTTGGAACTCCTTGCTCATACCTTCCTGATGCCCCTGCATTTCGATTCTTGGATGAAATCAGACAGCCTGTAGGGTTCATTATCAGGTTTCATTATCCTGTGTGGTTTAGACTCGACTTCTACCGTGTACATGGCCGATTAAAGTCGTAATTAGTCTATTAAACCAACTCAGACGTACTCAGGAACGCTGTTGCTGGTGCCATAGGTCTGGCGCCAGCACTGAGCTGCGACTATTCCGTGACCCGCTCCAAGCATGCTACACTAGCCGTCGCTAGCCGCATAAAGTAGTCCACATCTCGTTTGTCGCCAATTTTCCAGCAAATGGCTCAAAGGATTGATCGTCCTGTCTGGGTAGGCATGCCTGCTCCTGTGCGAGCATCCAAAGAACAGACTATGCTTGCACTCACAGCAAGCAGTGGCGTTTCAAGCGGATCTGCATGCTGTGATCCGATCCTTCGAAGGCGGCGAATATCCACCGACGTGAACATGGAACTGCTTCGCAAAACCTTGGTCCAAGCCTGAGGAATTGGAAAGATGAGGTCGGTCTGCAGCTGCAAATGTTCACTGTTCACTGTACGACGTGTACCCGAGGAAGAGAAGGCTAGAAGAAGGCAGGAGGCTGAAGAGAAGAAGCAGAAGGCGCACCTGCGACAAGATATAGTGAGGGTACGCTTTTGCTTCTCGATCTCGGCAGGCTCGATTCCGGCGCGCGGTTGCCAACTTTGCCATCCCATCGAGATTTAGAGTTTTGCAACACTGCAGGAAGCACAGACATGTTTGCTGATTGAATTTTGGAAGTCCTTGCCAGATGGATGGTCCCTACATGACTTTGATTTCAGTGTGCTTGACTTTTTGGGCCCTTCTTGGGGACGACATCCGCATCCTCACCACAAATCGACCCGCTGACATCGGGTGTGGCCCTCAGCCTGTTCGTCACTGCTGCAGATTTTGTCGAATACGCACAAGGGCAAGGACTTGACCCTTCTTTGCTTGACTCACTCGTTAATACCACGTGCATGTTGTTGCTTTGCCGCCCAGGTTCCAGAAGCTGTCTGCATGCACGATAACAGTCGCTGTGTTGCTGTTTGCCGTTCAGTACAGTTCCGCTGCAGATCAAACCGGAGTTATCTGCACCTTCCATTGGCTTTACCTGGCCATGTCGGAGCGGCGGCAGAGTATCAGACGCACTGTGACCCACATGCTGCATTGGCTTAGGCGCTTAGGGGTCAAGTTCCAGAGTGTATCGCGTTTGCAGGTATGCTTGGACGATGTCAGAGACAAAATCCACGTCCAAGGGCTCTGCCAGGCCAAGATGCGAGGGGAAGTCTGTGTCATGGTTAGGTGGCAGTACCCTTATTTTGCTGTGTGAAGGTCGAGCTAACAGCTGCTATAAGGGCCCTCGCCTTCGAGCTGCGGGGGAGGTGCCCCACACAGTGCATCAGGGCCGTAGACTTTAAGGTCTTCCTTCCTGCACGGGTAAGTGCAAGGCTGGGCATCTGGGCCGCCCAGGCATCTGATGAGGCAGGGATTATGCTCTGAGCATCTCCGCACATTAAGTAGAGCATGCACAGGTGTTGGCTAAAGTGGAAGACAGGCTGAAGCACAACGTCGTCACGCAGGCCTGGTCGACGAGCCGCGTCATGTCGGGCCTGCAGCGTCAGCAGTGGGATCTGTGTGGCATCGTTTTGCAGTCTTCTTGAGCAAACACTCCACTCCGTGTTGAACAAGAGAGTGCCCGGCCCCACATGCAAAACGAGGATGATGGGCCGCCAGAAGATGGGCAAGGCGTTGGACATGGCCAAATGTCTCTGTTGAGCTGAAAAGAAGACTTTTGCAGCAGTTCTTTTCCGTCGCTGCTCAGCATAAGATTGTCGCGGAAGTGAATCGCTGCAGTGGACGAACAACCTGCACAGCAAAGAGAGAGCCTATGCAGTAGATCTGACTGCAGGTGTTGAACACAACTCTGCTTCCGGGTTTGTGCTTAGGTCGACGAATGCTGCGCAGAGATAGAGATCGACACCCCACCATGTGTGCTATAACGACAACTATCATCGGGCATCTTCCTAGAACTTCCCTTCTTGATGACGTATTGCAGCGAGTACTGTCTTTCCTGCATGAAAGGTTTGAAGTTAGCAGTAATCTCCTAGCAGGCACTGGTGTGGTCGTCGTCGTAGTAGTAGCAGCAGCAGCAGTAATCGT